TTAGAAGTAGACTATAAGCGTAATAATGTGCTTGCTAGTTTTCTATTAATGTGCTTGCCAATTTTGATTAACATTTACTTTTGTATAAGTTTGTAGTACTAACTAATATCCTATTGTTTTGTGTGAATTAGATGAACGCAAAGGCGTCAAAGGTCTCAAGGGCCTCAAACTCAAGTTCAAACTCAATGAGATCAAAATCAAATAGCCCTCATGATCAAACAAACTCATCTTCGAGTATACCATCGGAAGTAAGTAGTCATATCTTTCTATTACTTTTGCCCTTGTGTTTAATAATTAATTCATTAATTGTAATGAATCTCTTATTTGAAAAATTAATTGTATGATTCTCTTATTTTAGATGGACATTGGTGAATCAACTCCGCCTCAAAACACCATGGTGGCACCTCGACAAACTCCTAGTTCTCTTGGTGGATCCGGAAATCCCGCCGATGCAACTCCAAAAGAAGGTGACCAAAGTGACCAAGTAAGTAAAGAAGAAGCTCTTTTGGAATCATTAAAAAGTCATGAAAGGTCTAAAGCTTGGGAGCACTTTGAAAGAAAAATTGAGGTTGGTAGAGTTAAGGGGTTGTGCAAGTATTGCGCTCAATCATATATGGCCGACCCAGATAAAAATGGTACAACTAATTTAAGAAACCATATAGCAAGATGTAGAAGCTACGGTCCTAATAAGGAAATATTTGCCGCAAATAGGCAAAAGATCTTAACCTTTGCCGGCACGAAATATAAGTTGGAAGCTATAGGTTTTTCTCAAGAGGAAGTAACTAAGGCTTGTGTTGAGATGATAATTATAGATGAGTTGCCTTTTACTTTTGTTGAAGGAGAAGGTTTTCGCCGTTTTTGCATGCAAGCATGTCCTATGTGGAGAGTGCCTAGTCGTAAGACAATTGCTAAGGATGTACTTAGCTTGTTTTATTCCGAAAAGGATAAATTGAAGAGTCAATTGAAGACATTTAGGGTGTGTCTAACAACGGACACATGGACTTCTATTCAACAAACCAATTATATGGTTCTCACCGCCCATTTTATTGATGATGATTGGATGTTACATAAAAAGATTTTGAATTTTTGTGTTATTCCAAATCATAAAGGAGAATCCATTGCTCAACTTTTGGAGTAATGTTTAGTGGAGTGAGGGTATAGATAAGGTGTTAACCATTACGGTTGACAATGCTTCCACAAATGATTCCAGTTTAAGGGACTTGGTGCACCGAATAAGTGGGTGGGGGATTCCTAATGCACTCTTGCATGATGGAAAATATTTGCATATGAGGTGTGTTGCTCATATCCTCAATTTGGTTGTGAATGATGGGATAAAATTGTTGAATACGGCTATACAAAGCATTCGTAATGCGGTTAGGTACGTAAGATCTTCCCCTCAAAGGTTGGAAAGCTTTAAAAGGTGTGTCGAGAAAGTGAGAATAGAGAGCCAAGGGCTTGTGATTTTGGATGTCCCTACTAGGTGGAATTCCACATTTTTAATGTTGGAATTGGCTTTAAAGTTCAAGATGGCTTTTGATAGATTAAAAGTAGATGATGGTCATTACCTTCCGTACTTTGTTAAAGACAATCATAATAATATGAGGAAGGGGCCACCTTCGATGGATGATTGGAGTGAGGCGGGGATATTTGCAATCTTTTTGAGTCCTTTTTATGAAGTCACTTTAAAAGTATGTTGTTCTAATACTCTAACCGTTCATACTACTTTTGGTGATTTGTTTAAGATCAAAAGTCTCTTGCATGAAAACAAAGATGATGAACTTTTGTCTATGATCTCCAAGTTGATGCAAGAAAAATATGACAAGTATTGGGGTTCACTTAAGGACATGAATCAATATCTTTTTATAGCACTTGTGCTTGATCCTCGCCACAAATTAGATAAAGTTGTTGATTATTTTGAGATACAATTTGGTGAGGATGAAGAAAAGGTTGAAAGTGCCACAAATGGGGTGAAGGACTTATTGATTGATCTTTACAAGATTCATGAAAATATGTCTTTGAGTACACAACAAAGTATAAGTGGTGGTGGTAGTTCTCAAACGACAAGTGGAGACTCTTCATCAAGCATGACCGAAATAAAAAGAAAGTTGAAAGAAAAAAGTGAAATGAGAAAAGCAAAGAGAGCCCGGATTGTGCATAATGATGTTGACAAGTATCTTTCCGATCCTAATGAAGGAGAAGAAGATGAGAACTTTGATGTATTGAATTGGTGGAGAGTGAATGGGGTTTCTAAGTACCCTATTTTGGCACGTGTTGCAAGAGAGATCTTAGCTATTCCCGTATCAACCATTGCTTCGGAATCCTCCTTTAGTACAAGTGGACGGATAATTGATCCATATCGTAGTTCTTTAAGTCCAAAAATGGTGGAGGCTTTGATATGTACTCAAAATTGGCTTAGGTCCATTCATGTTGCATTACATCATGAGCCAACCATTGAAGAGATGGAGTTTTGTGAAGAAGTTGAGAAAGGTAATTTTATTTATTGCATTTGATTTTGTTAGATTATTTTAAATAATATTTTAATTAATATCTTTTCTTTTATTATTTGTATGTAGAAATGGCAAGTGGAAGTTCAAAAAAAGGTGATATGTTGCCCCCTAAGCCACCCAAGCGTTAGCAAGCAAATTATCATTGAAAAAGTAGGTGGATCACTCTTTGGGTGCCCCCTAAGCCACCCAACCATTTGATGTTTATTTAACTTTGGACTTTGGAATACTTGATTATAATTGAACTTCGAATTGAATGTTTATTTTCATTGTCTTTGATTATATTAGAAATTTGGAATGCTTATTTTGACGATTATGTTGAAATGGGACTTATTACAAAATGGCTGCAAGTTGGTTTCATACAATTTTTTTTAGCTACTTGGAAGAGAAAAAAAAAAAAAAAAACCGAACAGGGCCGAAACCGAACCGAGAAAAACCGAACCGAACACAAACCGATAGAAAACCGGACCGAACCAAACCGAACAGTAATTTTGGTTCGGTTTTCGATTTTGGCAAAAAACCGAACCGAACCGAACCGAACCCTCCCTTATCTGCACTTTCTGTGCAACACAAAACAGCTGACTTCTATCCGACTCCATCTCCTTCGACGAGCCCAGTTGAACCAGCTGTTGTTGCAGACCTGGTAACAAGTCACCATCAACGTGGATACTCCTTCAACAGCTCTTCCTCTCCTTTTCTTAGCTACGTGCATTGCACAGAAGGTGTAGCAACACCGAGCCATCTCCCCAGCAATGTACGACCATCGCCACTCTGGCAAGTCCTCAGGCCACCACACCAACACGTTTCACTCTCTCTCTCCCCCTCCTATGTTTTCTCCCTTCCATCATCGATGCACACATGCACAGAAACACAAACCACCGCATAGTAGTATTAGCACACCTAACCTTGCGAACTCCAGAAAGATCCTTCATTCTCCAACATTGGGTAAGCATCGGATCAACTCCTTTTATCCCTTTCGTGATCTAGAAATGACCTTTAGATCACTAGGTGTCTGATTTGATGAGGTTTTGATACAGAAACTAAAAGGGGGAAGTTTTCCCATAATTATGGAAATTGGACCGTGACTATCAAGCCATATTCAAGGCGTTTTTCCGGCCGTCTCCGATCATTTTTTGACCTCATGATGGTGTGATCATGTTCCCCTCCTTACGAGCTTCAAATAAATAGGCAGAACACTGAAAATGGTTGGGTAGCGAGCTAGAAATTAGCTCTGAATGTTGGGATGAAATTTCCCAAATTTCTGGAAAACTAGGATACGTGGTCATTTGGCCACTTTCAGGCCTTTTTTTTTTTTTTTTACCAACACTAACATTAACTCAACCCTAATTTGGTATAGTTTTGTTCCCTACATTTCTAACTACAACATGGATTTTGAATTATTGATTTTGGTAGAGAATCAAGCTCGATAGAAGCTCTGGAAGTTGGACCAAAAACTTGCAAAATTGCAGGAAGTCGCGAGGAAGGCAGGTACATACGTACTCGCAAATGCGTGGGCGCGCATGAACGCGTGAGGGTTGTCGGCGGGTGGGCGTGTGGCTACCAATGTAGCCACTTATGACGGGGCGTGCGGTGGCGCTGGGAGAAACCCAAGGCCCCTTGGTTTCTCGACGTGCCGGATCCAAATTCGCCCTCTGTTTTCCGAAATTCGACCATTTTAAAATAGTTTCTTGATTAGCTGAACTTTGTACGAAACGCGTTTATACATTAGTACGTTACGTATTTACATAAATGGTTTCATTTCTAGGCGAAACGCATCACAAGGACTCTCAATGCTATGAGGCAGGTTCGATTCGACGACATGAAATGTGAGTGGGTCTTTTCCTTGATATATATATATATATATATATATATATAGGGGTGTGATATCCACACACCCCATTTTACTTCTCACACGCCTTTTTAATTTTCGGCCGTCGGATCATATAAATTGAAGAAAATCAACGAGCATAAATTATCAAGGAATGTGTGAAAAGTAAAATGGGGTGTGTGGATAGCACACCTCTCTCTCTCTCTCTATATATATATATATATTTATATTGGTTAGTTTCCATATATACATTTATAAATAAATTCTCTACGTGATTGCCATAATTAAAATGACGTTTATAAGAAATGCGTTATGGTTGGGAAAGTATGAAATAATCCTATGGGATGCTTAAGTAAGCTTACTATAAGGAGATGCCTTAATTACATTTATGTTCATAAATAATGTGATGTTGACCAAAGTTATCAAGTCATTGTGGCATGACTACATTTATGTTATCTGCTCATCATTTGCTGAACCGGTGTTAGTACTCGCTCAGGCCAGGGCCAGCCTTTCACGTGTATGTGCACATCACATCGTATGCTCACTTTGGATCCATTGTAGGTGTCAGTCCTGTCGTACAGGTTGCAATAGGCAACTCCGACTGGTATGTGCTACGCATAGTGCCAGTCTTCACATGATTGTAGTACTAGAGTGTATATCATTATTACACCCAGTCATGTTCATGTCAGAATACATTTGCATAAACTCGTGTGTCAGCATGTGTCGATGAGCACTCAATGTGATATGTTTATTTATGCGAAAATATGTGATTACGAATGTCAAGTATTTATTTACAAAAGTTGTGACGTTTGGCACCCTTGAAATACTGTTGGCTATGGTAAGCATTTTTATACTATATGTAGTATGTATAATTTGGAAACTATATCTGTTTTATGGCGAGGGGTTATAAAGTTTTCAAAAAGTTTTTATAAAGCTTTATTTTTAGACCCACTCATCCTTATTTTTCGCCCCTCTAGGTTTTAGTAGCTGAGCTTTCGTGTCGACGAAGATTCTTGGAAAACTTTGGTATAGGTGATTACCTTCGACAATATAATTCGTGGCCTACTTTTACTGTACGTTACTTGTGCTCTAACATCACGTGTTAATTGGGTTCACTCCCGCTCACTAGCGCACTCATACTTTTAGGCACTTTTAGGGTTAAATTTACTCACAATTCCACATCACTGCATTTTATGGCTTTGTCACCCTCCTAGTATCGCCCAACATGACTCGATTCGGAGTTCAGGTGGACATTCCGGGTTGGAATGTGTCATTTAGTAAGAATGAACGTAGTACAAAGATTGAGTGATAGTAGAGTTTGATTATTGAGTGTAAGTCTATCGATAAATTTTTGTTTAATGGTTAGTTTCATTTTATACTTGATAATAATTAAGTAATAAAATAAAATTGACAATTCACATTTAAAATCTAAAATGAAAAAAAATGACGTTATATGAGTTCAAATAAAAATATTCTAAAACAAATTAAACTCTTGCCACACACATTCCAATCACCAAGCAAGAAACAGTAAATAGAAAACGGGAATTCTGAGAGATGAAGAAATGACAGGGTGCTTTGAGAACAACGGCAGGTCGTATAGCCCTCTTTTAATATACTTGGCCGAAACGACGTAGTTCTGTCCAGGGTTTAAAAACTGAAAAATACATTTTCGTTTCTTCTTCTCGGGCATATCAATCAGTCTCGCGCCGCCGTTGCTTGCCCTGGTTACCCAATCTCTGGTGGGAAATATAGAAACCGGTGGAGGGCAATCCCGGCGGCTGGATGGCCGACAACTGCCCACTTTTGCCATAACGTGCGTCCGCCCTTGCTACCATCTGCTTCTTGAGTAAATCATTGGCGATGACGAAGGTGCAGCAGTAAACCGAGTTCCGGCACACAATGATCTGTAAAACCTGCCCGTTTCCGATACATTCCGAAATTTCGGCACCGCTTTGCTCTTCCACTCAAACCGGTGGCCTCTCTAAATCGTACCATTGAACGCGAAGGATCGCAAGCAAATGTTTCGCGCCAGAGAAATCTTGGTCCGGCTCCCTAAACGTTTAAAACCCACAACAAAATTACAACCAAGGAGAACATTTTGCTCCAAATCCGCTAAAAATGCCAACAATACTAACGCCGAGGAGACGAGTGTGAGTTCGTACCAGGAGCAGTATAAGCAGCTGGAGAAGCTCGACTTCATGACCGCCACCAAAATGCTCTTCACTGCTCCGCCCTCGAAAAAGAAATTCGGGTATTGTTTTGCTTCGAGTTTTCTGCAACATAGTATTTGTTTCTTGTTCTTTTGATTGTTTTGTACGTTGGTATTGCTTTTGCTCTGATTGGAATTTGTGGGTCGTTTTCGGTTCTCTTTGGCATTTCGTCGAACAGCTTTTGTGCATGTAGGTAGATAATTTACATAGCTGGGATAGTGTTGAAATGGAGGGTTTGTTGAAATTAGAAGGAGCCAGGTGGGTGTTTAAGGTTTAAATGGATTGAATGTTGGCAAATTTTGTGTGAAAATTTGAATTTGGACCCAGCTGCTAAAGCACTAAGCTAATTCTGGACTTGTATTATTTCAAGTTGTTGAAGGACAAGAAATGTACAAGAAATGATGGTGTATGGGTAAAATGTTTAGGGGGTATGTTTTTGGTCGAGTCCAAGTAAATTATTTGTATTGTCAGTCCGTATTTGTTAAAATTTTCCTATTGAGTTAAAAGAAAAACAGAAGTTCAATGCTTATGTAATGGAACAAACGAAGAATGTATTAGTACCCCGAAAGGGATTCTATATATTCTAACCATTTTGCAGCAAAGCCTTTTTTCTTTTTTCCATTTGTGTAGGTCAGTTTCCCTTGATTTGTGTCTGTGCGGTGTAGATTACTTTCCAAAGAAGCTATTAATGAAAGATATTTCTGTACTTTGAATATCCTACTGGTATCTTCCTTTCAGTACTGAGACATGTTTTTTGCCTCTCTTCTTTTCGTGGTCAGGCTCGATTTCCATTTGGTACAACTGTTCTTTTGTTGCATGCCTTCCTTGGGTACGTATCACTTTTCATATTTGGTTTCTCCTGTGGTTACACATCGTTATCTGAAAACTTATTTCATGTAACAGCTGTGTATCTGGTGGCTCAGTATGCTCGCTATGAAATTAGAAGAATGGAAGCGGTAACTAAACATTTATGTTTTTTTGCTGATCTTAAGCTTAAAATATTGCATATGTAGTATAGTCTCTTGATTGGATTGTATGCCATTGTGTGTTTTTATTGTGAATATCTCGTTTAAGAATGAGAAAAACAAGACAAACTCAGGAAACCAAAAACAACTAAGCATGATAATTAACACCAAGACTTTATGCGGTCCGGGTATGTGCCTACGTCCACGGGGCATCAACAACAATAAACTTTCACTATATCAATGATGAGTACAACGAATAATCTTGCCAAGCCTCTAGGATTAAGACTTGACGAAAAACCTGAAAGAACAAGAACAAGAACAAGAAATACACCCTTTATCTCTTTTCATTTCTCTAGCAAACACTTTGCCCTTGCAATATTCTCTCTAACTAGTTGAGTGGTATACAACTTATTGTTTTGCTTTAGTTTTTTTTGCTCCAATTCAAAACTAGCGCAATAGTCCTTTATATAGACATAATATAAGGATCACTGAATTTACAATTGGCAACCTGGACGCTCCTTATGTATCTGTCAAAACAACCTTTGCAGAAAGAGGTCGCACTGCATCTTTTACTGATACACTCATATGGCTGGTTCGCCCCACACACACACACACACTTGGTATTTGTCTATTACCAACTTTATGCCAAAAGAAATGCACTATGGCCGCACACGTATAAATGCTAGCTGAATATTGGATCCTTAGAAGCTCATGGGTGCAACATTTTTCCTCCAACTTTCCAAGTGAACATTCTAACTAATCATGTACAATGTGCACTCTTTTACCAAACACCGAATTTTTTTCTTTCCATCAATACTCAAGAAAGTTTCAACTCATTGATTAATTTCAAAGATGGAGCATTGCTTTTTAACACAGAAACATGATCATGTCAAGTTCGATAAGCACATATTTGGAAATTGAGCAAGATATACGAGTAACACTAAAATGCCTTGACTTGTCCAAAATCTCCATCTCAGGAACAGGAGATGAAAAAGAAGAAAGAAGAAGAAGCGAAAGCAAAAGAAATAGAAGTAAATGCTACCGAAGAAAAAGAAGCAGGATCTGTTCCAGAGCTTTTGGAGGTAAAAGTGAGACTAGATAAACTTGAAGAAACACTGAAGGAAATAGTGGTTGAATCGAAGAAGCAAACTGCCAGTGGGTTAACCAAAGATCAGGAAGTAGGTAGTGAGAAGAAAGATGGTGTAAAAGAGGCAACTAACACTAGTAGTTCAGACTCCAGCAAGCCTTCTGAGAAAGATCACCTTAGTAAACAGGATTCTGGAGAATCAAGACCGGCCCTCGGCAAAGAGAGTAAATAGTCAGCACCCAGTTCCTAATGCTTCCTTGAAGGATCAGCTGAGCAAAACCGAAGATGGAGGGGCTTCTCAAGATGCTAAAAGATGAAGTCGTTGACTTATTGTCTACAGTTTTGGTTGTAGCTTAGCATAGGCAACAGGGAACACGTCATTTGAACAGGTTAAGTTGATTTATAGGTGGGAGTATGTTGCGAATTCGATGTTCTTTTCTTCAACGAACTTTCTTCTTGCAAAATGAAAAAATACTTAATTGTAGAGCTTTTTTCCCAGAAATGATTAGCGGGAACATCTTGGAGACTAGACTTTGGTTGAACGATATGTTGCCTGTGAATGTGATGGTTATTTTCAAGTTTTCTGGTCTACAATACAAGTTACACGGTTCTTGCTTGTGATCGCGCTCGAGAGCAAAGGTGAAGAACCAAATCAGAACTGAAATATCAGGCGGATTCCTATTGTTTGAAGGCAAGCATCACTCCTCTGCAGCTTGGTAAAAGTATTCATTTTTGCACTTGAAGTTCCGAGTTTGATTCTTTTTCCGGCAATATAACTTGTGTAAAAAGTAAAAATACAAAGACAAATAAGAGAGTTTTATGCATGTCATCATCGATTAATCATGAAACAATTGTATATTTGTGATTAAAAAAAGGGATCCACACCTCTCTCCTCTTACACTCCTTTGTTTTATCTACAGTATTGGATTGAATAAATCGAAGGAAAATTAATGGAAAAAAATAAATATAAATGAACAAAAGGAGAAAAGTGGTGTTGTATTTGAGATGTCGTGAGTTTGAAATTCGTTTTCCCTGTTAATCGTAAAAGGGAAATAATAACCACACATTATCTTATTTAATCTGACGACATGCATAAACTTTTTCAGTCCGACGGCTAAAAATAAAAATGAAGCGTAAGAAAAGAATCAATAAAACTTGACCGATTATTGGGCTGGACTTTCATTAAGGAGGCCTTGCCAAGCCCTAGTCCTTACAACCCAAACTGGGCCCACCAACAGACGGGTCCTACCACCCTTTGATTTGTGACTTTGTCTTCTAACTCTGAAGCCCTTAGACCCTTAAACCCTAAAACCCTCTGAAACTGCAAAATATTCCGAGGAGTCTCTTCCATGGCGCGCCTAATCCGACCCCTGAGAAAATCCACTCCTTTTCCTTCTTCTTCCAGAATCCCAATTCATCAATCGCCCACTTTGCATTTCGCACATGAAAAACAAGTCTCCCTCTTAAACCCTTCACTCCAACCATCGCAATTCCGGCGAACTTACATCTCCGAAATGCGCAAATCGGCCTTCGAAGGCAACATTCTCAGACTCCTCCGGAGGGAAATACAGTACGAGCTCGATCACTCTCCTGCCACTCAGGTACCTACATGATTCATCCACTCCGCTGTCTTTTGCTCTTAAATTCCAAATTTTGACTTATGGGAAGAAGTGGGTTAGGCTTTGTTTAGTTGATGAGAATTCGATGGAAGAGAAGGGATTTATTGGATTTCGAGAATTGGGTCGTTTTGTAATTTAGTTTATGTGGCGTATGATTGGAAAATTTCATCAACCTGGAAAATAAGCATTTCTCTGTTTCGGGGCTGAATGGCTACTTGCTAAGAAAAATGGCACGCTCCAAAAACACAAATGAAATCTTTTGAATAGGTTTCTAGATACCTAAAGGTGCAATCGATGTCCATTCAGTTCGATTGGGTTTCTGGTAAATCCTTATGCAATATAATTGAAGTTTTTGTTACCGAGCCAAAAACAAGCTACTACATGAGCTAAAATTTTGGCTTGGTTGAATTGCAATCCGCAAGGCGAGATAATAGATTGTATTCAAGATGTTGTTCCTTCCTGAGTTGAGTTTTCTCAGCCATCAATCATAGGATTAAGACCGGATCTACACATTCTTCCCTCCAAGGACTCCGCTTAGATGCGACAGTCACTAAATTATGGTCGATGGTTAGCTTTTGTAATCAAAAGTTAAAGCACTCTTAAATAATATCTAGAGAATTCCCTTTAATTATTTGGGAGTCATTTTTTTTTGGGGTTTTAATGACGAATTTTTTCTGTTTTTCAGCCAGTTACAAAATTTAAGTCGTTTACAGTTAACGACCGGCCTGGTGAGCAATGGATAGCCTTGAAGACAAAGTTTGGAGAGAAAGAAGACATTAAGATCGAAGCCACGATGTTTGATGGATCTGTTCCTGTTCCAAATTCCAAAGGTGGTGCTAGCCTTGGAAAAGATGTGCAGCTTCACATTACAATGATTGTTAATATCTCCAAGAAGGAAGGCGGCAATGTGTTTGAGATTATGTGTTCAGCTTGGCCAGATACTATAGAGATCAACAAGCTTTTCGTCCGAAAACCTGAGAAGATGCCAGCTCAGCCTTATGCGGGTCCTGAGTTCAAGTATGATATTCTATTTAATCTCCTTTTTATATATTACTATATGAGGAACATTAGTAACATAAAAAGAGTTAGAGGTTGAGTAAAATTCTTGATTTTTCTGAATTTTGTAGAACTCTTTTGTGTCTTCCCCCTTCTCCTGTCTTTTGTTGTTGTTTGTGGTTGTGATTCTTTTTCCCCTTGTGTATTGATTTTCTATATTTACAGGGTATAGAGTCTGAAAGCTGATTTGTACTTCGGTCTCATAATATTTTCTTCTGCTCTCTAAATGTTACAGTTTATTTGTTTTTGTGGTTTGTGTACAGGGAACTTGATGATGAGTTGCAAGACTCACTTTATGAATTCTTGGAAGCGAGGAGTATAAACGATGATCTTGCTATTTTCTTGCACGAATACATGAAGAACAAAGATAAAACTGAGTTCATTAGATGGATGGGGACTGTGAAATCATTTATTGAAAAGAAAGTAGAGTGATTGTGCAGCATTTGGATGACCTTGATTTATCAATCCTGTTTGCGTTGAGTAATGAAATTGGCATGATTATGCAAGTGGAGCTTCCTCTTATGTTTTTAAATCTTTCATTGTTGTTTTAACTTTCCATCTGAGAAAAAAATTATGAAATTATGTAGCTATTAATCTTGAATGCTTTAGACAAGTTGTTGCATTAGATCATCAAAAATAGTAGAAGAGCCCTCTAGTGATGGCATATGCCATCTGTTTAGGTTGTAAAATTTGTTAAAACTGTCTTCTTTTTCTGTTTCTTCTCAATCAACACCAAGATCCATGCCCTAACATCTATAAAGCCTTACTTGTGGGTCCCTTTATTTACCATGGTTTCTCAGTCCTACCATGTTTTGGGTAGATCTTCTCAACATAACTGGTAGGGTTTAGGGTTTTCGTCATGGGACTTTGCAGCAGTCTTCATATCCCGTGGGAGATTTATGCTATTTTAATAATTTCTGCCTCAGCTAGATTAGCTGCTTGCAGCACTATGACACTACTTGCTGCCGGTTATGCGTTGAGACTAATTGGTTAAAGTATGCATGCCATATGTTCATGGCACAATGAAATATGATAATTTGATGATTATTATCTAGATAAGGAAGCCATTTTGAATTAAGTAGCAAAAAGTGTATATTTTGCTCATATGGCTCGTGCAATGGCAGATTTTGCTATTTTCTTGATCATGCAGGGAGTTCACCTTGGTTGAAATATAATTTCCTTAATGAAGTGGAAAGTATGCATTTTCTTCCATGTTACGTTCTATGCCTGCTTAGGTCCCTGAGACACAAATTTCATGTTGCAAATGTGCTTCTGCTACATAGAATAACAATTATTCAATTTTGTTGTAGCTCCATGAATTTGAACATTCACATTGAGATAAGTATGATCTTGGAAAGTGGAAACGAGCTGTTGCAGGTCGCAATCAGGTTTAAGACTATTGGTGGTGTGTAGATGGATTATTCTCCTGGATCATGCTGCTTGCTGATGTTGTGGCCATAATTCCCTTCTCATAGAACGTCTGCATCCACTTTTCCCAGTCATGCTAACGAGTATCAATGTAACGTCTGCATCACTTCCCTTTTCTCTTTTTAGTCTTAACCATATATTCTCCTTTGCTGCAGGATTGCGTCGGCAACTGAAACTTACAGAGTAATGTTTGTTTCTAGCTTTATAGTCTGAACTAAATTGCGATCAAGTGGAAAGTATCGATGTCTTGGTATGTTAATGTCTCGAACTTATGGTCCTGGCTTTATGAAAGATGCTCTATAGTACTATCTACTCTTGGTGAACTTCACATTCCACTACAATATGCTTTACTATTGATAGACAGACATGCGAATGGTGTGGTTTATATTGGTCAAACCCTGGATAAGATGAAAGTCTTATCCTCTTTAGTTTAGAGCAATATGCATCTGTTCCAAATCTGATGTCATGTTGTTTTCGTTATCTTTGCTGGTCTGCATCATACTTGCTCACCTCTAACTCCTGAATTGGGTTGGACTATAATTCGTTCGATCTTGTGAATAGTAGTCATATGTTTTTAACCAGAATGACGGTTCTACTGATTACGACACTTCTAGGCACGAGCACCGTAGGAAATGAGAATTGTTGTGTCGTGGTCCACAAGAGTGTCATACTCGTCTTTTCAATTTCGATGTCCCTTGCTAGCTTCGTCTGTAGATTTTTGATTTCCCCTCTTATTCCTTGCAAAGTTTGTTGATCTTAATTTCAAACATCATTTTGAAGTTTGATTTTCAAAGATTGGTTGTACATGGATGACCATCAAATTGAGATAAACAGTCAATTCAAAAGCAAAATTGTATTTGTTTGAACCATTTTTATAGAGAAACTGTGTCATTTAGAAGAGTTTAAACATTGTGGAGAAAAACAATCGATTCAAAAACAAAATTGTTGAGATAAATTGTCAAACCAACCCTAAGTTTACCATGTAGACTCGGAAATCATAGGTAATTACAAATCTAGGCTTAGTCAAGTTGGGTAAAGCAGTGTGCTCATTCCTCTACGCTCAAGTTCGAATTCCCCTCCCAATAGTTTAGATGAAAATTTTGACAAATAAAAATTCTCTGACCAATCGGCATTGGGTAGGCGTCAGCCCCCATACATGGTCTGACAACAATTACATTTGTTGTAGAATTATTTTGTAAACAAATTGCAGTGAGAGAGCACAATTTTCAAATTTGGTGAACTCTCAAAACCCAAGTAATTTCAAGAAAGCGATAGAAAAAGAAATATGTGCGTAATTCTTTCTTAAGCGTGCAATTAAACTTTGATTGATGATGGTTTTGTAATCTCCCTCTCTTTTCATTGAATGGGACAAACTTAAACCTCCATTAATCAAGTCTTAAACAATATTCAAATCTTACAACGACAAGTAATCTCTTCCTTAATTATTATAAGATCCTAACGGAGAAAGACTTGTTCTTGGTTTAATTTTTCACCTAATCTCATTATCTCAGCAACTTGAAAGCTCCACATTCACATGCAGCCTCTTTTTCCAACCAGTGTTTGTTTAAGTGTTTCTTAATTTGGAGGCAAAATGAAAGCTTTTCAATATTTTAATGTCAAAATGGTAAAAGAATGAGGCGTCGTAACACAACTATATGGACACCCCAACTGGTTTGCGGCTAATGGCAGAAACCCAAGACTTTTACGTTCACTTCCACAAGGGAAATGATAACCACGCTCTTTTTTCTGGTTGTTCACACTTGTGTTTAATCTTATTTGTTGTTTTTGTTTGATTATTCAGTTTGATGACAAGACGTATGGCGGGAAAAAGTATGTGTAGTTATTCGTTTCCTTTGGACATTCTCCTTTCACCTTTTTCCTTCACCATTCGCATTATATAATGTCGTAGGATGATTGGAATGCCCACTCTCTAGGTAAAATCCGTCGAGAATGATTCACTGAAAAAGTTTCATCTATATTGGAAGTCACTTTATTATTAGTTTATACATCGGTTTGTCTTTTTATTTTACAATTGATTTGGATGTTTTCTTATGCGGGGATGATTTTTAATAAATGATCTAAAAGATAGATGGTTTGGAACATTATATGACAAGATCGAGACGAGAGAAAGTAGCTAGCATAGCCAACTTTACGTTCATTTTCAAGACTATTGACATCTTGTCTTCCTATCAAAACCCCTTGTTAATCTAAGATTTCAATGACAGTTAACTGTCATAGTGAACAAATTTCAGTCACCTTTACATGTTAATTCTAGGATAATCATGGTGTATTATGACTAAGCTGATATAGTAAACGTCAAATGGATCTGGACCCACACAAATTAGAAGTGGCCTAATTATGAAAGAGATTATGCAGCTAAGAAATCAAGGCAATCAAGATTTTCCCACAATTTAATATTGAGGTTAGGTAGAGGTTGAAACGAGTTTTTCTGATCTTCGGAAGAGTAAATTGTCGTGACTTGACCATCAGCTAGTCTTTTAGAAAATGAAAATATTGAGGAGAAATTATTGATGGGGTAGGGAGGATAGCTATGAGATGAGCGTGATTAATCATTATAATGCGTCTTTCACATGGCTTGTTACATTACACCAACCTCTTAGATCCAAATAGCACTAGCAGTAGAGATGGTCTATTATTTCAACTGCAGGTGGGTCAAAAACCCATGTCATTTAAACCATCATGTCAAATTAAAAGTAGTAGTAGGAAATGACAATCACAAGATTCCAAATCTTTGCACGTTTTGTGGACCTTATAAACAAATGTTTAAGATAGACATGACCCTCATGGTCTCTCAGATGAACACACCTGACCTGGGTGCTGCGTGACATAATATCAGATGATCAAGTATTAAGCAGATGACATAATATCACATGATCAAGTATTAAGCAGATTTGGTAGTATATAAGTTGATTAGAGGAGTATACTCTCGTACTCAAGTTTCACCGTCTTTTAGAATATTGTTCGAAAGCTAAAAAAGAGTAAAGTAATCAAGGCTAGATTTATAAGTATTTGTCCAAGTACTCGCTGGTTTATTGCTCTATTTTTTCTTACTAGAACATATCAAAAAGTATCAACACACCACTTGAAAGAAGTGAGAATCAAATTCTACATCTTTTTTTAATACAAACAATATTACTATTTTAATTTACACTAGAGGAAGGTAGAGGAGTTTGAATCCGGAATGTTGTAAAAGAAAGAAGAAAGTCGTAACAACTAAAGTAATCCACCACTTGCAAAATCGAATTCTATATCACTATATGAAATTTGGAAGCATTAATTAGTTTGCATTTAGTCCATCTTCAATTCCAGCATTTAGCATTTCTATCTTAAAAATAAAAGAGAAAACTGAATGAGTAAAGTTTATGCTAACGCCTGTTGATCCTTAACAGCTAATCTAAAGCATTGAGAACCCAATTAAAAGAAGAGCAATTTGCTGGCTTTAAAGTAATGTTAGAGAGATCAAATTTTAAATCAAATAACGTGTTACCAATATGAAACAAACACATTAATCGACACTTAATTAATAATCCAATCATCTACAATCACATCAATAAATTTGCAAATTTAGTTTAAAAAATTTGGTCTACCTAGCATTACTCCTAGCTTTAAAGGGGGACTTAACTTCTCAAATTAAGTAGCAAAATTGATCTTTGAATTACTGGTACACATCACCATGCAAATTCAAAGTTCTGACGCCCAACTTATAGATCGTGAGATCAAATGTTAGATGGATCACAACCGTTGAATTATTAAAAAACAAAATAAGTGTCACAACATTTGGAATTGGGATTTACATTCAAAGCCAAAAATTTCAATACAAACTTCTCTGAAAATGTCAACTTTAGCTAAAAGGAATGTACAAAAGTTGCCACTCATACATGAAAACCAAAGATAGAGGAAACCTGAAATTGATCGGTTAACATGGATGGGTTTAAAATTTGTAGGAAAAAAAAAACTGGGAAAGTGCTTAGAGCTTGAGGGACAAGTCAAGCTTCTGCAACTCATCTTGCTTAGTATTAAAATGGCCAACACTACTATTACTCCACCATAACCCTCCAATTCCTTCCGTCTCTGGAGAAAACTTCCGAACATTAGTACTATAGGAAAACCTTCCAACACCGCCACTCGATGAGGAGGAGGAGGATCCTATGCCGCCACCCTGCACATGAAAAACATTGTTAGGTGGAACAAGCCGCCCGATCGCAGGTTGTTGATCAATAGGCCGTCTCAGCCACCCACTATTACCATTATGTCCTCCAATGGTGTTTGTTTGGTAACAAGGCTTGTGAATTGTGGAATGC